ACGTATCGTTTTCCGCTGGACCTTGGGAAAGAAAGGATGGTACGAATATCGGAGCGTTAACGTTGAGCCCGGTGAAGGCAGACTGAAGTTCGGTATCAGCCGTGGCCTCAACATCGTCCTCCTGTTCCCACGAATCAGGGGCTATGTCTCTCGAGTCCATAGTGGCTTTAACTAGAATAGCTGACGTTTCTAGCGGGTTGCGCTTTAACCCACAAGGCGGTTTTGAACACAACCAAGTCTGCTGTGTTTTCAGTATCTATTCCAGGTAAATTGATAGATTGGGGAACTCGTAAATGAGCTGAAATGGTTCATGGGGCGCCTCGTCTTCTTCATGCGACACCATGGACGTGTAGCTAGTAGTTAGCTGATCCTGAATCTTGCATGCGCGCACTCGCGCAGTGCCAGTGCAGAAACGTGGACTGTGAAAGCAGAGACCATGCGTGATAATAGCCACATCAACAGCTTTTCAAAGTAAGACCATCATGGTAAATCTGCAAGTGCAATATTAAAAAACGGGAATATATTAACAGTCAAAATGTGACCACTCTGCACTACTTTTTATTCAACCGTTTTTATGTACTTTTAATTTACAATTAAAATTGCATTGTATAAATAAACAATTAAAAAATATGCATAAATATAGATGTGTAATGTATAAACAAAGTATAAATACAATGTATAAACAGATAGACAATAGATAAACATGTAAATAAATAGGTACAACTAGTTTATGTGTTAACTTGAACAGGTTCCATCTTGAACAAAATGTAGACATTTATGCAACATGTTTTCTGTGCAGATTTTTAGTCTTTGGCATCTGCTATTCCTCCAGCGGTGATGGCAAAAGTAGCCTCGCTTTCTGGCATATCTGGGCTGTAGAAAAGCAGAGGTTTGGTTGCATTTAAATCAAATGATAACCATATACTATAACTGTCTAAATCTATAAATAAATGTACATATGCATAACTTGTGCATTGTACGTGTTCTTTTTATGTTAGTTGAGAAACAAAAAGAGTAGCTAAAATAATAACACTTTACAATAAAGAAGGAGGTATTGTTAACAAAACTACATTAGTTAACATGAACTGACCATTAAAAATATTTTTAAAGCATAAAATAATCTAGGTTATGATGTTAATTTGGTCATTTACTAATACATTCTTAAAATCAAAAGTTGTATCTGTAAATATTTTGAGCTAACATGAACTAACAATGAACAGTTGTATTTTTTATTAACAAACATTAATAAATATTGTAACTATTTATGTAATGTAATGCTCAATGTTAGTTAACAAACATAAAGTAATGGAAACTTATTTTAAAGCGTTACCGAGAAAATCTTGAAATTACCTATCAAATATTTTGGCAATTCTCAACTCAGCACGTCCTTTCCTCAAGCTGATGCGTGTGGTGGAGGCATGCGCCAGTATGTGTCCTCCAATGGGCTTTTTGGGATCTGCTTGAAATCTAAGATCATAATAATCAGTTTAAAATCCGCCAACATTCCCTTTCCTATTTGTTTTGTGTTCCTTCTTACGTCATTCCAGCCCCTGGATCTGCAGTCATCTGGTTGGTAACAAACACTGCCACGTTGTACTCTACAAACGATAGATATTATTGATGAGGTGAAGTTCAGAAAAATTAAGTTCACAAGTTAAAATCATGAGCTTACTTCATTGAAGATAAGACTGACTACTATCAAGTTCTATGCCAGGTCCATTATACTAGTAGTGTCTTATTCCCATTCATTTATATAACAGAAGATGATTTTTACAGACCTTCAGAGATCTTCTGCAGTCTGGAGAGCATTTGTGCAAGCTTCTGCTGTCTCTCAGCCAGCTCGCCTCTTCCAGAGAAGTCCACCCGGAACAGAGCCATGATTGAGTCTATTATCTGTGAAAAATTAATTGTCGAAGGCAACAAGATCAAGTAAAATCGCTTCCTAAAAATATAAATCTCAGAACGTTTACAATGATAGGATCAAGTGTTTTTCTTCTATCTCTCAGACTTACCAGAAGCTTGAAAACACCTCCTTCCTCATGAAACTTGGCTGCAACAAAGTCTAATAATTCCATCTGATGCTCGCCTATGAATGAAAAATATATTTAAAAAAAAAATTATTAAGAGCCTGTTAAACTCCAAAGTAAAGCGACATTTCAAATCTTTAAGTAAAAAAGTTCAGCTTTAAAAAAAATAGGGAAGTTCTTACTGGTATATGCACGTGCATATAGCACATTATCCAGTACAGCTTCATGATCCACATTGAATCTGTCAGCTATGTCCTTGAGCCTCTCAGGCCGACTGGTGTTCACAATTATTAAGGAGAAAAGGGATTCTCCATATTGTATAGGTTTAGAAAAATCCATTTGACACAAAGAAAGCAAATGCAGAAATGATACAAGGTGTTTTCAGAATCAATGAAGATGACCTTCCCTCCTGAGTAGCCATATTCACCAGGAAGCTGGGCGGTTACTTGGGAAAAAGAGAAAGAGAGTGACATTAATGGTCTGAAATGACAATTAAATTGGAAATATACCATTTAGACAAAATACATTATTGTTCTTACCACACAGTGTGTGAGCGAGTTGAGTCTTTCCAGTTCTGAATTCTGAAGTTACGCGAAAGGATTCACAAAGACAAAAACATGTAATTTTGGTAGAACTGATGTATGGGAAAATGCATTTAATTCTGGTTGATAATCATAACACCACCCTACCACCAAAAGCCTCAGTAATGGCCATACTCTCCACACCTCCTCCAAGGAGTTTGCTAAACAAAATATGAATAAAGCATTTCTTTATTAATGTGTAAAATGTGTAAGACTTTATTTATGACTTTTATCAGACAAAATGTTCAGCCCTGTGTAAAACAACAGGTAGGCCTAGGTTTTAGTACGGAGACCTAGCATGACATGAGGGGAAATAGATATTGTAGCCAGAAATAAGATTTTGTTCCCACAACTTATTAATTTGTGTCCATATTTTTTAACTGATTTTAGTTAAATCATAGCCAAGAAATCTTTTTCCCCTCCATGTTATCGGCAAGGCTCAGTATTTTAAAGCTATAAAAATGTTATTTCTTACTCAAACTCCAAACTGCCAGTTGTGACGTGGAACACTTGCTTCCTTTTTATAATGTAATCAGATGCTGTCTGAAATCCACATGTCTACAAGAAAGACAACAAAATTGTATACATTTACTTTAAGATTAACTCTATACAATTGAAAAATATATGTATTATGCTAACAAATTACGGGAATACACATCAAATTACCAACAACTTTCCAGCAGCTTCCTTTATTTTGTCCACTTTAGCCTCAGACAGTCCCTTTACATTACAGAGAGCACGGCGTGTGGTCATCTGGATGCCTTTCACAGTACAAATCCCTACAGACTTCAGTTTCTTAATGTCAGCCATGTTCTTAAGAGAAAGGGTTATGAATCAGTCACTGTCATGATGAGATTATCTTAACTTTCATAATAACATTTGTTTACTTACAATGCCATGCTTCTGTAAGAGCTCAATGTCTTGAAAAAAGGATTCCTAAGGGGGTTTTATAGGAAATTAATTCATCATTAATTTGTGCTATACACAAACTAGTAAAAGACAAATGGGTATGTCTAATTTAAGTTGTATATTTTCATTAAATGCATTTTGAAACATGTAGGCTAATATTAAACACAAGACCTCACGACTAAAATTGTATTGGCTGGCTCATAGAAATGAATGTGAATCACCTCATCTTCTTGGTACCCGGACTCATCCTCCAAAGCCTGCTCTTCCAAAACTTTCATACTATGGATGATTTAAAAAGAAAGTTTACAATTAATTATTGTCTTTCGGCGACAAGTTAAGTCATTCGGTAATTATCTATTCTAGATAAATCTTTTTAAAGTGGCGGCTTACTCTATAATCAGCTAGTGTTAAATGTTAGCAGCCTGTTTCAAAAGAACTGGTCTTAATTCTCGCTGTGGATGTCACATTAACAGTTATAGTGTCGTGTTCCTCGTCATAAGGGTGCAAAATAACTTTTTTTGGCAAAAATAAATGAATGTAAATGACATTTTACCTCACGTTTATTCCTCAGGGAAAGCTGACAGAAACTGCTCGAGTGATCTCACGCTGAGTGACAGACAGTCAGTGACACTTCAGCGCGCGGCGCGCATATTTTCCCGCGCTCTGATAGTCATCAATGCCACACCCACATTAAAGTTTCAGGGTTTTTTGTTGTTGTTGTGATTTTTAAACTACAACTACTACTTATAATACATCTAAATGGTTCTGTTTTCTCTATTTTACCAAACCGACCTGAAATGTAAAAGTTTTTTTATGATCCTAGTAGTGGCAGTCTGACAGACCAAGCACACAGCTGATTTTGTATTCAATCCTATTTTTTACAGTCTATGATTCAATCTACCGGTAAACCTAAAACTGTTTTAAAAGTTTTACCATCCCTCTTATTTTTTAAAATAATTTTTTTTCTACGTTCAAATTCATGTATCCTATTTTATTCTCCCAAACAAAAAGTAAAATAATCATAAATCTTTTCTTTATTTCTGTGTAAATGTACTTTTTTTTACGAACTAGAGGACTTTTAAATTGACGTCATTCCTCGTTGTTGCGTCATTTCCACCTATTGAAACTGGAAAATGGGAAGGAATATGTTGCACTCGTAACCGCATACTAGTATACTACTCGTATTACGTTAACCTGCTATGGCAGAAATATTAATAGTAGTAAGCGGTTCCGAATTCAACAATTGATTTTATGAGGAAAACTTTGTTGACTGATAATCTGTGGGAATATTTTATTCCTTGTTAAATGATTATTAATGTTAGGTTGAGGTAACCTGTGCCATTTTGCTCAATCATCACTGAAATTTCCCTGAAACAACTGAAATTTGAGACATTTTACATTAATTAGTGAGGCTCACGTCACCTTTCCTTCTATGTCGTTTTAAAATATGAAATTCTGTAATATAAAGTATACACAAAAGAAGGACAGAGGAGCACTTGTTTTTATTCCCATCAGGTGGAGCAAACAGGATCACTCACTATTGAAAGTATTGTTTTGAAACATTATTTCTCAAATATTTCACAATAATTTCAACACACAGTATGGCTTTTTCTGTGGAATAACACTGCAGAAGCTTTGTATGATGTTAGTTCTACCTGTAAAAGACACTGTTGGTAGAGAACCACATCTTAAATTTTTAACATTTCTGAACCAAACACAAGAAACCGTAGTTTTTAGATAGAGAAAATTTCACAATCAACATTGGCTTTACGTGCCCTCATAAATATTACAGATCTTTTACATGCTGTTATAGATTCTCTACAACGTCAGTGTTGATCCGGCATTACAATGGCCAACATTGCACCGTAAACACTCTCTTAGAAATATAATGCACCTACAACACAGTCAAAATATTCCCAACAGATGCCATAGTCTCTCTCTGAAAGACATGTTATTAGATAGCTATAATAAAAATGTAAAAGGTCAGAGCTTGGAGATCAGTCTATGTAGAATGTTTTTGTGAGAAAGGCAGAGGGAAGTTCATAAAAAGTCATCAAGATCTCCATTGTACAGAATCTATACAGGGTAATGACTTCTTGATGTTGACCAACAACAGCATCTTCTTTTCTCCAGTTCCTGCTCCCTCTCTCTTTCCCCTTCTTCTACAACTCATGGATGTTACATTATATACATCATCACAGCTTTCCAGGAGCAGGAGGCATCATTCCAGGCATTCCTCCAGACATGCCAGCATTTGGACCCAACAAAATCTATTAAAAGCAGGAAAATGACCAAACAAATGAGAAATTAATTCTCACTTTAATGAAAAAGAAACGTAAAACACATTAGTTAAAATAAAAAAGGCTTGATTAATTTTTTTACAAAAGGCATTTCAATGAAAAGATACTTAAAGTCACCATGAAATCCACATTTACAATTCTTATTTTTTTAATGTATTATTGTAGTGTTTATTATAAATGATTTATCTGTGCACTTCATTGTTTTGTTTTTTATTCATGTGCCCTCATAATCTTTATTCATCAAAACATTAACCTTCCCTCCCCCCTCGAAAAGACTTTTCTTCTCTTCCTGTCATGTGCTATGACGCGCGGGCAGGGCTATCGTTTCTGCCCCATGCTCTCCAGAAACCTGTCAGTGAATCCGTAATATGGTGGTTAGGTGCAATTTTGGATGCGCTCCTCCACAAGTCCTTTTCCCTATCCCCAAACAACCCAGCAGCTCGCTAGCTCGAATTCCTACATTTCGAAGGAGGAATAACGGCGAATTTGCGTCTGTGTACAAGGCATTTTACCGAAGAATGTTTCAAGAACTTGAGACGGTATGAAATGGGTTTAGTCCAAGTCCTACATTTGACAGCCAAGGCTGTCCCATCTGTGTACACAGTTGGGACGTCAACGAATGTGAAGGTTAGTAAAAACGAATTAACTTGCTAACTAGAAAGAATCGTGTAACGTTTTTAGATGGATGTTCTGAAATTTAAGTTGTTTCATTTGTCCAATAGCCACTTACACGAGATGTTGGATGCCAACATGCCGACTGTAAAGTCGATGAATGCCGGCTATTGTCATGACAGTTGTTATGGCAGGTCAACAACATTTAGAAAATTAGTTTTACCATTCGGACACGTCGAGGGTGAACTTGACCATTAGCAGCCTCGTCATGGTCCCTCTCTTGGTTTGCAGGGAGCAGTGGTTCGAATAAAGCCCCGCCCTACTTTTTTTTTTTTTTTCATTTCAGAACCCGTTTCACTCGTATATACGTCACAATAGGGGGAAAAAGGACAATCGCAACTTCCGTTTCATGGCGACTTTAACATGTTAACCAAAAATTTGTAAGAGAAGTGAAGACTGCTTTACATTATTTAGATGTGGGAGTGACAAGGAAACATGAAATACTGCAAAAATACAGTAGAACGTTGTGGCAAGCAGGGCGGGGCCGAGAGCCGTGAGAATGGCGTGAGCCTCGTATATCTCATGACGGAGCAACGGAAGCATAAAGGGAGGAGCGACGACAGTGAAGGACGAGAGAGGATCAGGCCTGGACATATACGTTACGTTTTGTTTATGTGTGTGAGGCAGTCGTCCGTGAGGGGCTGCCGCTTTTACTTTCATTTTTGTTTTTGTTTTTTTACTTTCGTTTTGTGATTATAAAAGTTGTTGAACATTCGCTGGTTCCCTCCTCCTCCTTCCCTTATCAATAAACGTATCCCAAACAAGTTGAGATGAGGAAGAAACTGTTTTTAAGGGATGTGTAAGGTAAAGTTCAAGTGTTTATGGCAGCTAGGAAACTTTTTGTGTCGCATTATTTTACGATATACGAGGTGAGGCGATATATTCACCAGCTATGAGGTGAATAACTTTACAAACTTTGATTTTAGGCAAAAAAGTATTTGAAAATCAAAGGACAAATGTAAAAGACTTTGTATATAACTTTAATGAGGGAAAAGAACTACAATCATATGGAGCATTATGAATTATATATTCAAATTAAAAAACTGAACAACTGAAACTGAAAGTCCCAATTAGGCCATCCTTAAAAATATTTTGGTTTGCAGTAACAGCAATAAAATAAAAAAAAAGGGTCGGTAGGTAGGTCTATATTTTTTTTTTTTCAAGATTCAATGTAAAAAAAAAAGGATAATTTTGGTCATGGTGATTACGTCGGTATGAATCTAAACAAATTTACATATCGTGACGTCACTGACTGGGTCTTCAACCCATGCCTTCGGGCCCACCATTGCGAACCTCATTCTGATACAGGTTATAGACCACAAACAATTTGAAATCTTTGTCAAAAAAACATATTTATTGCATTAATTCCAGCTGCATTCATTTGGGAAAAAAAATAGGCTGAATCAAAAAAAGAAGAAAAAAAAGGAGCCACTAGATTTCCATGAAAGTGGATTTTCAGAGGGAAACAAATAAATTAAAATGACTAATCTCACCAGCGCCGCGCCGACCAATAAAACAGCGCGTTTGGCACCATTCGTTTACATTTGACCCATACTATTACAAGCCCCCTTTCTGGTCTAGGGGCAGGAAAGGAGGGTAACAAAAAGTTGCAGGGAGAGAGTGAGAGATTTGACCCATAAACATCTGCTATTAACGGAAATCAGTGAGGTCAAATGGCTAGGCGCATTGTAGAAACTATAGGCCTATTAAGTAGTCCTGACATATTATGGAATGGTCGATTTTCTTTTGTGCTATTTAGTACATTTCGGTATGGGATGTGCTGTTTTATTGGTCAGCGCGGCGCTGGTGAGATTAGTTCGCGCCGCGCTGACCATTGGCTGGCGCAAGCAAACACTTCTCTCTGCGCTGTCGAGTCTGTCGCGGCTCGGTCCATTGAGCCACGCAGATTACAAGTCAGCGCAGCGCGAACTCTGTAACACCGCGCCGTTTGTCCCACTTTCGGTGTGTTTGGCTTCCCATACTTATGTGTGTTTGTTTGTCAGAGCCTGCAGTTGCTGTGTGACGCGCGTTCGCGGTGGGCATATCATGACGAGCTGGACGCGCTCCGAGAAAAGGCCGTTAACATCGATTCCCTATTCTCCTATTTGACCATTAAGAATTTCTAATAATGAGCGACTAAATGTAGGCTCATATACAGACGTATTTCACAAGCAGCCGCGCCGCAGCCATCATCACCGAGCGCGAACCATTGACAGTGAATGAAACGAAGCGAACGCACAGGCCATGTGACATGCATAAACCAATGGTGTAAACATAATCATAATAGATGACGCCACGGGGTTTTATTTAAAAGAAAGAACATAGCCTACGCAATTTATATTCACAATACTTACTATAATATAATTTATATTATTTTTTTGCATTTGTGTTAGTTGTTTGAAGAGTAAAAAAAAATCGGTCGGTCTTAATGCAAGTTTACAACCGGCAAGTCGGTCGGACTAAAAGGGGGAAAAAATAAATAATTGGGTCGGTCCTAATTCGACAGGGTCGGTCGGGTTACGGCAAACAAGAATATTTTTAAGGATGGCCTTAAATCAATTTAAATTTCTTGGCTTTTAGTATGAATATGTTAGCCTTAAAGGCACACTGTGGAATTTTTGGCCACTAGGGTGCGCTCGACCTGTAATTTTCACGTCTAGTGCCCCTAGAGGCCACAAGCGCCGCAGCATTGTCGCAAAAGTCAACAAACAGTCAACCGGTCAACCTCCCGTGTCTTTATGTCTGTGCAGACGGCATCTGATTTGTATGTTGGAGAAAGTTAATCGATTCACTACTGACCAAAATAATAATATAAATATAAGATTAATAATATAAATCCTATAAAGAAAACAAATTGAATAAAAGTAGCATACGCAGAAAACAATGTCTGATCAGGTAAGTCGCATTGACAAGGGTTGCCCAATCCTGCTCCTGCCGATCGTCTGTCCTGCACAGTTCATCTCCAACCCTAATCAAACACACCTGAAGCAAACAATTAACGTCTTCAGGATCTCTTTGCAATGGGTTGGAGATGAAATCGAGTAGTCGGGAAATCGTGTAACAAAACTGATATAGCATAACTCACTACATATTTCCGTTATTTGTAGTCTTCAGTTTGTTTTTCCTTTTACACAAATACAAACATATATGAGCTGAAAGGAAAAAAAACATTTACATTTGTATACGGCAGTATGTTGTGACTTATATCAGTTTTGTTACACGAATTCACAGTAAATATTACATTATATATACACTTTTATGCCGATGTTTATTTTAAACTCTCCCTTTTTCTTTTTTTGGTCTCCTCTGACAAAATCTTTGCTTTCTTCGCTTTCTTCCGAGTAGCTGTTGATTCAGCCATGACGACAACATACAGACGCCGGCAATCAAACGCGAGTTGAGCTCTCACGTTAGAATTTGAGGAAGTTGGGGTGGTGGGGGAAGTGACGTATGCCGTAAAGCGGTCGAATTTTGTAGTTCTTTTTGTGCTCGGGTTCCTACCCGAAACCCGAAGTTACATAGTGCTAGTAAAAGCGATACAGACACCTTCAGGCTTCGGCAGACGTGTCATTCAACCTATTGTAAGTCGATGTACCATCTCAATGGGTTTTGGTAATATATTATAAAGGTTGAAAAGTTCCACAGTGTGCCTTTAATGTTATCTATAAGCTAGTGTGCTCCAAAAAAAAAAAAAAAAAAAATACACACAAAAAAAATCGCATCTAGAGGATATAAGCATTCAAAACTTAGTCCCTCACTTCCGCCAATATGGATCAATGATTTTGATGACATCGCTCTGGACTTCAGCTTCTTATCAGATTTTCTGTCCAATCAAATGCTCTCTAGAATCTGAAGCGTCCCGTCCCCTACATTATAAATAGACGCTGAAGCTGTGGCTAAAATCGGTCACTTGTTCACACATTTACTATTTTCTACATTGTGAATGGCACATAGTGCAATATATAGGGGATAGGGAACGATTCAGACAGTGTAAATATGCTTTCCATTGGGGCGAATGAAGTCTGGTTACGAACCACCGCAGCGCGCACAGTCTGCTCTGGTCCAGAGACACAATAGCACAGAGCAATGATAGCACAGAGCGGATCATTTGCGCAAGTCGGCGCATAACAGAACACGTATCAGACCCATTTGAATTCTGCACAGAATGCTGTATTTTAAAGCGATATGGAGGAGATTAGGAGGAGAAAGGTTAAAGATTAGATGGAAACTGCAGCTTTAACGAGCTGTGATATGGAGAAAACAAATGGGATCTCCAGAACCCAACTGTTGCAGTCTGTAGCTTTAAATATGGCTCATCCCATCAGAATTTAGTGTCAGAACAACTATTATATCAGTATTATATAATCAGTTTTGAGTTAATGTGACGCTCTTTTTGCACTGATTTCATAAGACTATTTAATTTGTATGGATAATCTTTTGGTTTGTGAAGTTACTACCAACAATTGTTAAAACTATTGACCAAAAATAACTATACATGTTATATATATACACTATGATATAAAAATACTTATTCTGTCATATAAGATTTCAGTCATAGAGCTCACCCCTAGTTAGGTGGGTATGATATCAAAAGGAAGGTTCATATGCAGGACTTTGGTGCAACTTACCTGTCTCTGCTGTTGTAATTGCTGTTGTTCCAGCTGTAACCTCTCAGTCTCAAAGACAACCGGCAGAACCAGAATCATAAAGGAAGTGGTGCCGACCCATAGAGCTGAGCGGGAGAAACTACAAGAGAGCACAATATGGAAAAAAAGATGCTGAAACGTGTTGCCTAAAAAAATCATCATGTGTAGAATTGACTGTTTTAATTGTAAGGTCAACTGCCAGCACCCCACCTGTAAAGTTTTTTGGCTACAGATAGCGAACACTGCGCGGACACTTCAGCTGCAGATCGCAGTGATTCTGGAAACATCTCTGTGAGACCCCACAACCTCTCCAACATGGTTTCATCCAGCTGGGAGAGAAGAAATAAAAACTGGAGCATTACATCAGAAAATGAAGTCTCTAAAACCCACGCCACCAGCCCAAAATGGTAACTCAGGAGGACACACTGAAAAAGCTTATTCCTCACGGGCACATGGTTTCAAAGCTGAAGGTTTCTACTGACAGTGTGCAATGAAATATACTGTGTATGTGAAATGGTAACATTAATATTACAAGGGCAAACGCTATAACCTAAGAGTAATTTATTTATAATAAATGAAGTGTGTGTGTGTGTGTGTGTGTGTGTGTGTATGGATGAATAATCACACTGTATTGTATTATATGATTTATTATATATATATATATATATATATATATATATATATATATATAAAAAGGGAGAGAAATACTCAAACTGCTAACGTTAAGCGGCTCTTCATTTCATGCCAGTTTGGCCGGCTAAATAGCTAATATTCACTATGCCAGCAGCACCAAACAAGCTTTGGTCTGTTTCTACACATTGTCCAATAGCTTTATAATTTTCTTGAGGTCAGGCAAAATTGTAGAAGCAATCGAGTACCTCTTCATCTTCATCATCTCCCTCGATCTCATCTTCGGGCGGTCGTGTCTCCACACGGCCAGAGTCTGGAGACAGCTCCTGGATGGTAGCCATTTAAAATATGACGCAAGTCTATTCGCTTTAAATTATAATTGTGAATAGACCACAATGGTGTGTTACAGCTTCACAATGAATTAGATGCAGAGAGCACGCATTGAAACCTGAGGTCACTTGGGTTACATGTGAGACGGATGTACTTCCCCGGTTCGTTCCTTGTAAGGAAGCACAACGACATATTAGGACGCCTATCGACAGGGAGGTCTTACTGCGTAGCAGTGGACGATGAAATAGTGGAAGATTGCGCTCACTGACACAATTCCCCTTAGTTTTAATAAGAAGTGGAAGAGGAGACCAAAATCACCTACTTTACACGTCATTACACCAAAAAAGGAGAAATTATGCCTAGTGTGGGAGTTTCGAATCAACAGATTATTTATTTGTTTGTTTCGTTTGATTAAAGTAACACTTTTGGTTTTAATACTTGGATGAAACAAACTGCATGCCTAAAGACGTTTTTATGTTAAGTGAAAGCATGTGTTTCATTCATGGTCACAATTTTAATCAATGAGAAACTACAAGGTTAAAGTTTGTGAACAATACATTAACATTAACAGCTTTTTTAGTGACAGACAATTTTGTGGGGGAAAGAATTGCTAAACAATTTTTTTTTTAACTTTTACCTTGGTTCATTTTTATGTAACAATAATGTGTAAATACAATCTGAATCAATTAGTTAATTGTTCAAAAATAAAGGTCTGTCTGTGTTGCCCCATTGATCACAAATCAATGTTTGTACAATGCATGTTTGTTTGTATTGTAATCATGATATTTAGGAAAAAGAGAAGAAGTACCTTAATAGCCTTTTATAATAAAAAATTGGCAGCTGTATGAATGTTTTACATATGCTTGTTTTACATGTGTTTTTTTGTTACTTTTATGTAGCTTTTTCATACAAATTTCTACCAATTTCATCATTTAAATTCAAACATTTAAAGGGATAGTTCACCCCAAAATTAAAATGTTGTCATCATACTCACCCTCATGTTGATCCAGTCCGGAGTTTCTTTCTTCTGTTAAACACAAAAGAAGATATTTTAAATATGTTGGTAACTAGACAGTTGACAGCACCCATTGATTTAGTTTTTATTTATTTTTTTCTTATGGAAGTCTGAGGGTGCTGTCAACTGTTTGATTGAAGAAACTCATACAGATTTGGAACAACTTGAGTATGACAAAATGTAAATTTTTGGGTGAACTATCCCTTTAAGGGAATTGAACTGTTAAAATGATACAATACAAGCTTAAAAAAGATTAGCATGTACTAACTTAAAATGAAAGAAACTTTTATTAAGAGATTGATTATCCTTAGATAGGCCTACATTTTTGGGGATGGTAGCCTACATTCTATTTAATGGAATTAAACGGCTGTGCTCACACCGTGTAAATATGACAGTTTGCACTTTCATTGTAAAATACATCAACTCTTTTTTTAGACCTTATAAACATAAACATAGACCTAAATGTTACTGGGATTAAATGGGTTAATAAAAAGAAGTTTCACAAGGTTGTTGACTGATATTTTTGTGCGCTGAGGTCCCGCCCTCATTCTTAAAGGCTTGAGTCATCTTGTGTGTGTGTTTTTTATGAATGAAAGGATCCAGCCCGCTGATGGAGGACTGATTCCGGGAAAAAGGCGTTTAGCTCTCTAGTCCGTCTAAACACGGGCCGTGCTGCGATAACGTATATGTCAGTCGAAATACCGGACCAGTAGTGAGAATCGTGGACAGATCCATATTCATCCTCGTTTGAAATCAGCGAAGAGGGGGAAATCAACACCAGGCAAGATTTTCTATTTTTTTTCCTCCTTTCGACATTTGTTTACACTAAGGAAACGGAGGGGTGTTAGCAAAGCTGCTGTAGTACATGCAGTCAGTGTTTGTTTTAACATAATATCCACAATTGATACTGTTATAGCTTAAATGTTGTATTAAGATGATTTGGAGTAGTATATTATACATTTTAATAGTATTAGTCATCATGAGCTCAAATCGCGTGTGTTTTTATCACGATGTTAGGTGTAGCAACAAGCTAACGCGTAATAAGGAAATAGCTGCGTAGTAGATGTCGTCGATTCAGACCGTTAAAATGTATAAGCTTTATATATACCGTATATGTTTATCAACATTTTTTATGTATTATGCTTAGAAACTACGCTAAACGTGTATGTTGTTTACTATGAGAAACGACTAGTCAGCAATGTCTTGGTTTGGTTTGAACTGGAAATATGTCATAAACGAATTCCTACGTTGTCACACCGCTTTATTATGTTTTATATATAAGGTTACTTGGTTATTTAAAAGATTTAGGTTAAATTGTCGCTGTGTACGTAACACAATGTTTATTTTGGAACATGTAAACTGAAGACGTTTGGGGGGAAACGACAGCCCACGACTTTTGTTGTTCACTAAATCGTCTATCTGGGTTTAATGAGAGATCATTTTATTATATGTGAGTGATAATATTTGTTGTGACTAAGTAACTGGGAATTTTATAAATTTTGTAAAACATAATGTAAAAAGAAAGTAAGGAGCTGCTGCGAAGACAGGAATGGAGGACTTGTGCTGAATCACTGTGACTGTGGAAAAGCTCAGGCGGTTATTTGAGGCAGCTCGCGGATGATAGGTGCACTTCCCACACATGACGGGAAACTCATGGTCAGCAGCGTTTACTTCTTCATCTGGACTTTGACCAGGCATGATTCACTGTCAAGAAAAAAAGTGCTACAGTTTGGATACGGGAAGTCTAGTCTAGATTTAGAAAATATGGAAGCAAGAATTGTAACCCACGATACATTTAACAGCTATGACGCGATACACCTGTTCGGGTCGACCAATATGGATTTTTTTGATGGCTGATGCCGATATCTTAAAGATACAAAGCCGATATATATCACATTATTTATTTAAAGATAGTAAATAGCACGCATAACAATTGCTGCAATTAAATTTATATTAATTTTACATTTTTAGAAACGATTAATTGTTAAATTAATCAGCTTTTTTTTTTTACATTAAAAATGAATCTGTAAAATAAAAATTTAAGGCCACTTCACACCAAGGACAATAACTATAACAATATAGTAATCGTTTTCAAAATCGAGTCCACACTAAAACTATGACGATAATGGCACAGAGAAACAATATCACTGGAATAATTTCCATAATGATTTTTTATCCCCATCTGAAGAATGATAAAAACAAAACATTGAGAGCCAATCAAACAGAATTCTTCCTGATTTAAAGAGCCAGAGTATTTAAAGGGCAGAGAGCAAAACTGCAGCACTAGCTTAAACAGAACGATATCGGTGTGGATGCGAATATAGTTATCGTTATTTTTCTTGGTGTGAACTGGCCTTTATATTTCAACTTCTTGATTCTTTATTACTATTATAGTATTGTTCAGAAATAAAGAAATCTAAAAAAAAAGATCTATGCGAAAAAAGCCAACTACCGGCAGACATATCGACTAAAAAACTAATTATCACATCATGGCGCATCTCGCATAGCAGATTGTCATTTCTGTTGTATAGTAACGTTCGCTGTTATGTCAGTGTACATCTCTTCAAGCGGAAGATGTCACTGTGGTTCACTGTGTCGAGCCTTTAGCTTTGACTATTCACAATACATTGAGTCTTTATATAACATTCATTTGATGTTAATCTGTTATTTTTGGTATTTACAGGTTTCAGGGATACATAAAACCAGACAATGACTTCAGACGGCAGAGCTAGTAAAGCCCTCAAGGTAAAGATAATTCTACTGAATACACATTTTTTTGTCACACACTGAGAAAATGTTTGTAATTAAAAAAAAATATATATATACTGTAAAATGCTACAGTAAAAACCTGTTAATTGGTTAACTAAGTTACCTTACCATATACACTTAAACTGTCTATTGTGTGTCGGCACCAATAGCCTCATTGGCAGTGCTCAGACAATTAGCGCAGGTGTGCTTCGGGCGTCCCGAGTTTGAGTCCCGGCTCGTGGACATTTCCCGATCCCGTCCCCCTCTCTCTCCAACTTCGCTTCCTGTCAACTAACTGTCCTGTCATAATGAAGGCAAAAATGCCAAAGAAATAAGAATCTTTTTAAAAAAAAATGGTGTAACATCGCTTCATATGTAATTGTACTGTAAAAGTTATGTTTGCGCTGGTAAAATCCATGAATTACTGTATAATTTACAGTAAAAGGACATTCCCAGTAGTCACTGTTATTGGTAATGTACATTATATTGTTTTGTGTTACATTTTCTTTAGTGTTTACTGCATTGTTTTAGTGTCAGGTGTGTTACACTGATGGTGTTTTTGTGTGCACCGCGTGTATGATCCTGCGCATTGTCTATATACAAATTCTGGCCATGTTTTATGGACCATCCACTCCAGCAACTCTGATGAACCACCTGTATTATTATGGTGGTTATCAGTCCATTTTACGTTAAAAAGACGACTTGGAAATGAAATGTACAGTTATAAGTTGAAAAAATATCCACCTTATTTTCCAAAGCGGAAGTAAGTTATTTTTTGTGATTGTGCAAAAATTATAATTCATTAGCCACAATGGGTAAATAACTAGAAGAATATGGTGCAAGGTAAACTTTAAAACTATTTCCGCTACAAACCAGTGTGTTTATGAATATGATAATAAATTAAAATAATATAAGAAATACCAGTTTTTAATATCTAGCAGCATAAAGGGCTGTTTTCGTACAGCTAAAATAACGAAGTGGATGACAACGGAAGCCTTGCATTCGAGTTACAAATGGCCGCGGCTGTTCTTGCGTTAAAAATAAGGTGGATACAGGCACCAATATTACATTCCGTAATACCTGAAACATTTTAACTCTTTTTCTGGCAACCACAGAAATTTAACTTAAAGGGATACTCCACTTTTTTTGGAAATAGGCTCATTTTACAACTCCCTCAGAGTTAAACTGTTGAGTTTTACCGTTTTTGAATCCATTCAGCCGATCTCCGGTTCTGACGGTACCACTTTTAGCATAGCTTAGCATACATCATTGAAGTGGACAAGACCATTAGCAGTTCTCAAACAAAAATCACCAAAGAGTTTCAACATTTTTCCTATTTAAAACTTGACTCTTCTGTAGTTACATCGATTCGTGCACTAAGACCGACGGAAAATGTAAAGTTGCGATTTTCTAGGCTGATATGGCTAGGAACTATACTCTCATTCCTGCGTAATAATCAAGAAACTTTACTGCCGTACCATGAGTGCAGCAGGCGTAATGATATGATGCAGCGCTTGAAAATAGGCCACCTTCCGTCAACACAACGGAACTATTTTCAGGCGCTGCGTCATATCATTACGCCTGCTGCACTCATGGTACGGCAGTAAAGTTTCTTGATTATTACGCAGGAATGAGAGTATAGTTCCTAGCCATATCAGCCTAGAAAATCGCAACTTTACATTTTCCGTCGGTCTTAGTGCACGATGTAACTACAGAAGAGTCAAGTTTTAAATAGGAAAAATATCGAAACTCTTTGGTGATTTTTGTTTGAGAAATGCTAATGGTCTTGTCCACTTCAATGATGTATGCTAAGCTATGCTAAAAGTGGTACCGCCAGAACCGGAGATCGACTGAATGGATTCAAAAACGGTAAAACTCAACAGTTTAACTCTGGGGGAGTTGTAAAATGAGCCTATTTCCAAAAAAAAGTGGAGTATCCCTTTAAAAAAATGTCTTTATATGCAGTGGCATGGTACAAGCAGGGCTGGAAAAGTAATGGAAATGAGTTCAAACCTATAAACTCACAAAAAAGCATGAGAAATTTTGGTAACACTTTACAATAAGGTTCATTATTTAACTACCTTAGTTAAACTAAGAATGAACAATACTTCTTCAGCATTTATTAATCTTAGTTAATATTAATGTCAACATTTACTAATACGTTATTAAAATCAAAAGTTAACATTAGTTAATGCACTGTGAACTAACAACGAACAGCTGTATTTTTATTTACTAACATTAACAAAGATTAATAAATATTGTAACAAATGTATTGCTCATTGTTAGTTCATGTTAGTTAATACATTAACTAATGAACCTTATTGTAAAGTGTTACCGAATTTTTGTAGTGAATATTTTTCTTGTCAATACTTATTGGATCTAAAATATCACTTAAAAATTATCTTTGAAACAAAATCTTTAACCCTGATAAAGTATGTTTAGTTTTGCTTCATACAACTGTCCCATTGTTTCAGGTGAAGAGGGAATGTGGGGAGAACGTCCCAGTGCTGAGCGACAGCGAGCTCATGTCGTTATCGGTGCGCGAGCTCAACATGCACTTACGCGGTTTGTCACGCGAGGAGGTGCAGAAGCTGAAGCAGAGGCGGCGCACGCTGAAAAACCGCGGCTACGCGGCGAGCTGCCGGGTGAAGCGCGTGTCCCAGCGAGAGGCCCTGGAGCAGCAGAAGAAGGAGCTGCAGCGGGAGGTGGAGCGGCTGGGCGCAGAGAACGCAGGCATGAGGCGAGAGCTGGAAGGGTTGGGTGCTCGTCTCGCTGCCCTCCAGCGCTTCGCCAGAGGTTTGGAATCTGGAGGAGGCAGTCTGCTCGCCACCACACCCCGTCTGAACACAGCCTCCGTCATCACCATAGTGAAGACACCGCAGCAGGTGCACACCCCTAGAGAGCAGGGAGCATCCTAGAGCCCCACGCTCGCATGGAGACGCAGACACACATAGGTACACAGTATGATCGCGACAGACAGACAGGACCATGTATACTCACATATACAGGAAGAAAAACAAGTACCACTTGGGAATTACAGATTCACTTACATATATAAACACACACAGACTGAATATACAGTCTAATAAATGTCCAAGAATAATCTCAGTACTGTTGTTGTGGCCTCGAATATCATGACAAGTGCAGAAGTCTGCACAAAGCTATTGCTAATGATAGCATTATGCTATTTCTATGCCCATTACTGTGCTTTCTGGGTGGTGATACATTAGAAAAAAATAGTCCTAAAACTTATCATGTGGGACCACCAACATTTCAGAAGCTGGTTAGTTTTGCTGGAATATCTCCTTGGTATTAATGTATCATCATGGGACTAGAGAACTTGCAGAACTATTGATACATGCCATTTATATATTTTAATGTTTGTATAAAAGACAAATGTTCAACAACAGACATAAAAGCTATTTTATTTGTGTTCCAAACAAGATGTTTGAAGGTAATTTGTGCTGTGATCTGTCTATATACTACTTCTGTTTGACTAGTTTGGGGTCATTCTTTTAATTATTGTGTTTTTTCTTTGTTGGTTTTTTTTTTTTTTGTAATGTTTACTTGTTGTAATGAGTTATTAGTTTAGTAATGGTAAGGTATAAAGCCACATTACTTGTAATATGATTCAGTATGTGTGAGGGTCATATTTGTACTAATATTAGAGCGACTTGTTTGTAGTGGTATTTTTGTATTTAAAACCAAGACCATATATATTATTTGCTATTTATGATTAAAAACGTATCTGAATATTTTGGAAAGCTGGAATATTAAAAAAAATACCATTAGAAGGAAAAGAGAGTGGAAGGGGAATCTGTGGAAGATGTGAAATTAGAGAAAAATACGGAAGAGAGCAGCCAGAAGGAGAAGTGAGCACTTGTGGCTCACATGGGAGGAAAAAAAGGAGGATAAGAAAGTGACAGAAGGAAAGTGAAAGACAAAAATGATATCACATGTACATTAACCCATGGTTGTTGAGATGACTCTTGCTAACTACATGCCTGGTTTAGTCCAGTAAACGGGGTAATGCTGTATGATCAGTAATGATCGGCCATGTTAAACGTGGATATCTCTGGTGATTTTCTAATTAAGTGTAGTTAGCGATGTCATCGTCAGTACTGAGAATCTAACTTGGTAATATCATGCCCATGACACTTGTGCTTCAGAACAATGTGCCGAATGTTTTGTAAGAGGGCAGAGCACACACACACACAAAAAAAAAAAACTATTGACGTTTGTATTTATTATCTGTATTTTTCTATGGTAAATTCATTGTCTATTTTATATCATTTAATTGAAATAAATGTTGTATATATTGTACATAGAATTACATGTGTTCATTGAGTGAAAACTGTCGCACAAATATTTACAGACAAAATTCTTTATTGTTTCCTAGGTCAGAGCATCAAGGGAAAAAATAGAAGCAAAATCTTTGACATAGTAATACATAATGCTCTGTTTCAAATAACATGACAGTACAAAGAATGTCTTAGTGTGACTTCAAAATATGTTTCCACAAAATATATATATTTTTAAATGTAATAGCGCTTCCTATGTTACTTTAAACCACTCTGAATAATAACATACGGTGCGATGGTACACAAATAGCTTGCCAAAATATTCTAAATATACAAAACTGCTTAGTGCAAGTTACAATAACGTCTATATTATTAAAAGAAGCCCTCCCCTTACAAAGAATACACTGCAAAACACTAACATAATAACTATAAGCAGGTACCATACATACTCGTACTTGGTTCCAGCTGCATTGTGTTTATACTGGTCTCTATCGTACCAATAAAAGCGTAGGACAGTTAATAAGTAACTCCAAAGATGCTACATAACCAACCGCAAGCTTCACGCTTGGTTATCAAGGGCCTAACTGCTATCTGAGGTAAAGCGCAATGGCGGAAGCTTCTAAAGAATGGGAGAGACTTTGGTGTGGCTCTCAAAGGGTCAGAAATAACAGGCGTGTCCCATAAAGATAAAGGGTATGAACTGTGAGAAATGCCTCCCTCTAGTGGGATATCTAGGAAAAAACTCCTATTAAAGGGATAGTTCACCCAAAAATGAAAATTTTGACATAATTTACTCACCCTCAAGTTGTTCAAAACCTGTATGAGTTTCTTTCTTCTGTAGAACACAATAGAAGGTATTTTGAAGAATGTTGGTAACCAGACAGTTGACGGCACCCATTGTATTTTTTCCCTACTATGGATGTCAATGGGTGATGTCAACTGTCTGGTTACCAACATTCTTCAAAATATCTTCTTTTGTGTTCTACAGAAGAAAGAAACTCATACAGGTTTAGAACAACTTGACAGGAAGTAAATAATGACAGAATTTTCATTTTTGGGTGAACTACCCCTTTAAAGGGATAGTTGACTGCTTTCAACTTAACTGCCTTCTCTGTAGAAATCTAGCATACATTAAGAAGCTTAACCTAAATCTATTTTTAAACCGCTCATCTAACCTAGAAAGATGTTTTTCAGCCATGTCACACTTTCACAAAAGCTTGTGCTAATCTGCACCAGACAAGTAATGCTTCAATTACAGCCATATAATCCAGACTGCATTAATCTGTAATCTTATCGTGGACCATCAACCTCTCCCTGTCCCTTAAATCATCCGTCAAAACAACAACAACGGTGTGTTTAAACAGCTGGTACTGCCTTTACTGTCACTGTGCTCTCTCACTCACAGCTGTACTTGCCCTTTAAATCACTGGGAGAGCTATAAACACTGACGAAAGGGAAGCAAAGTTGCACTTGAACTTGTAAATCACAAACGGAAACATTCCTACCGAACAACCCTCCAATACACTGCTCTTTATAAATATGCTGGGATGTGCAAACATCCACGATGCAAAACTAGAAGCTTAAAAAAATACATCAATTCAAACGCTGAAAAGTCAGACCATGTAGGATTTAAAAATTTGGCCAAAAATGCAAACGTATAGATGAATGTATTATTTAAGTCTTTGTATAAACAACATCGGACAAAAGCGCATCATTGAAGTCTGTTTTAACGACTAAGAGTAAGCAGCTTAATTTCATATTCTACTGCACTAGAATGTCTCTACTTGCTTAAGATGGTCCTTTAATAACCTGTCCCTACGTTATCTTAACCTCATCATTACACTACCACAGCAGTAAACAGTCCCTTACGGAGTACCTTCGTTCGGGACGATGGGAAGTGAGTTAAAACTCATCATCAGAGCTAAGCAGCAGGGTTTTCTCATTGTCCCGGGCGCTCAAGCAGCTGTGATTACGGGATATGGGCGGTGCGGTGACTCCCTGCTCCAGGGTGGATTGCTGGGTGTACTGTTGGTAGGCTGGGGAGAAATTGTGGATTGCATCCTGAACCATATCTCCAGGATTCATGGTCTCCTTCAAGCTGCTGGAGATGCTCTTCATGGGGGCACAGCGACCTTGAGAAGGACGGAGAACTTAATTAAAGGTTGACGGCGGCATGAGAGAAGAGAAAGAGGAAAAACACAAGAATGACTTTTCTTTTTTGGACGAACTATCCCTTTAAGATTTCACTGTCCCTGTACTATCAAATAGAGAGGAGATGGGCGTTAAGATCAAGAACTGTAGCCTACCGTACTGTCCATATGTAGGAACAGGGCCTTTAGAGTGCAGCATGAAAATGAGAAATAGAGAAAGGACGGAAATGGGTGGAAGGTTGGATGTGTTGCATGGGATGACCAAAATAAAATTAAGAGAATATGAAAGGTAGATGCGCAAAAATAAAATATAAAAAAATGAAGCATTGAAGTAACAGATCAGCCATATTAATGGATGGATTGAGGAATAAATGATGATTTACATAAAAGCAGAAGAGGAAAAGAGAAAAGTCATGAGATCCAAGCCATTATCATTGACAAAATTTTAAGAGAGAATGACTTTTCTTAATTTCAATAAAACATTCTGGAATCATATATGTGTTATATGTATATATGTGTTAGTGCTGTCAAATCGATTAATCGCATCTAACATAAAATGTAAAACATCTGTGTTTATATAATATATGTGTGTGTATATATATTAATATTATATTTTTTATATATATATATATATATATATATATATATATATATATATATATATATATATATATATATATATATATATATATATATATATATATATATATATATATATATGTCTGTGTGTGCATCTGTGTGTGTATATATATATATATGTGTGTGTGGGTGTATATATACAGTATATATATATATATATATATATATATATATATACACACACAGATGCACACACACAGACATATATATATATATATATATATAAATATAATAATATATAATAATATATATATATATATATATATATAAATATATATTCACACCTATTATATAAACACAAACTTTTTATGTTAGATGCAATTAACCGATTTGACAGCATTATATATATATATATACACTCACCGGCCACTTTATTAGGTACACCTGTCCAACTGCTCGTTAACACTTAATTTCTAAGCAGCCAATCACATGGCGGCAACTCAGTGCATTTAGGCATGTAGACATGGTCAAGACAATCTCCTGCAGTTCAAACCGAGCATCAGTATGGGGAAGAAAGTTGATTTGAGTGACTTTGAACGTGGCATGATTGTTGGTGCCAGAAGGGCTGGTCTGAGTATTTCAGAAACTGCTAATCTACTGGGATTTTCACGCACAACCATCTCTAGGGTTTACAGAGAATGGTCCGAAAAAGAAAAAACATCCAGTGAGCAGCAGTTCTGTGGGCGGAAATGCCTTGTTGATGCCAGAGGTCAGAGGAGAATGGCCAGACTGGTTCGAGCTGATAGAAGGGCAACAGTGACTGAAATAACCACTCGTTACAACCGAGGTATGCAGCAAAGCATTTGTGAAGCCACAACACGCACAACCTTGAGGCGGATGGGCTACAACAGCAGAAGACTCCACCGGGTACCACTCATCTCCACTACAAATAGGAAAAAGAGGCTACAATTTGCAAGAGCTCACCAAAATTGAACAGTTGAAGACTGGAAAAATGTTGCCTGGTCTGATGAGTCTCGATTTCTGTTGAGACATTCAGATGTTAGAGTCAGAATTTGGCGTAAACAGAATGAGAACATGGAACCATCATGCCTTGTTACCACTGTGCAGGCTGGTGGTGGTGGTGTAATGGTGTGGGGGATGTTTTCCTGGCACACTTTAGGCCCCTTAGTGCCAATTGGGCATCGTTTAAATGCCACGGCCTACCTGAGCATTGTTTCTGACCATGTCCATCCCTTTATGGCCACCATGTACCCATCCTCTGATGGCTACTTCCACCATGTCACAAAGCTCTAATCATTTCAAATTGGTTTCTTGAACATGACAATGAGTTCACTGTACTAAAATGGCCTCCACAGTCACCAGATCTCAACCCAATAGAGCATCTTTGGGATGTGGTGGAACGGGAGATTCGCATCATGGATGTGCAGCCGACAAATCTGCGGCAACTGTGTGATGCCATCATGTCAATATGGACCAAACTCCCTGAGGAATGCTTCCAGCACCTTGTTGAATCTATGCCACGAAGAATTGAGGCAGTTCTGAAGGCAAAAGGGGGTCCAACCCGTTACTAGCATGGGGTACCTAATAAAGTGGCCGGTGAGTGTATATTCTACTGTTGAAAAGTTTGGGGTAAGATTTTTTTTTTAAACTTGTATTATTATATTAATAATTATATGAATACTAATATTATTCAGAAATAAATTCTGTATTTAACCTTCTTTTAAACAATAAGCGTTTTACATATATTGGAGAGGGGAAAAAACATACACCATTCGTTCATTAACAAAGAAGCAAAGGTCTAAAGCTCACCAAGGGAATCCAGTCTTTTGTCCATGTAGACTTTGTATGTGAACGCATGTCGCAAGGCCAATGCTGCAAAGAACATCTCAATGCAAATAATGAAGTTCTGGTATCCAGCCGCAACAGTTCCCTCGCCGACAGAAACCTCAGGAGAGCTGATCTTAGGAATCGCACCACACTTCTCCAGGATGGCCAGCAGCATGCCTGAAAGACCAGCAAGATCACATGACCAGTTTACTTACAGAGCACCACAGATGACATGCGGGAAAAAATATGTATATTGTGATGACGAAGCAACAACTCATTCCCATGACTTACTAATACATCAGCACGTTTTACTAATTCGTTTCCTCGTTTTAAGTAAATCGTGCACACGATATTATTCGTTCCCTTGTTTTACTAAATTGTAGCACTATATTAACTTCTTGTGTATTAAACTGTTATATAAAATCATCACATTTGCAATGGTGCAGATATTTAGGGGGAATAAAAAGAATGTTCTTAAAAACTATATCATATGATATAAATATAAAACAAAAACCTATACAGGGTTTTTTATTTTTTTATTTTAGTGGCATTTTAACTGCATTCTAATAGGCTTCATCACAGAGTCAGTCGTTGCCCAGCATCATGTTTATAACTAAACTGCATGCAATGCGAGATGACGTACAGATCTGGGCCGGGCCAGGGTGCGTTAAAAGCATTAATCATTTTAATGCGTTATTTATTCTATAAATAATCACACCAAATTAATCGTTAAATCGACAGCTCTACTTACTATATATTCTGTAAAATAAATTACATGAATAAAAATAAAAGATATAGGGTCGGACTTGATAGTATCCCTAAAGAACTGACATAACTTGCAGATGCCTAAAACAATAATTGGTTGGACAGATTTTCTTTTTCTTTAAAATAACGTAGACAATAAGACTTGTTTTTAAGTAAATAGGGCCAATTTTGACCTTTTGTTGAATATTTCTTAAGCAGCAGATCTGCTGACCTTGCCAGAAGGAGAGGAAGATGACCGATTTGACCATGAGGAACTTGAGCATGGGCCTGTAGGGACTGAGGAGGTCTCGGGTGGAAAAGTAGAACAGGAAGAGGGCGTAGAGGGACAGGCTGACGGAGATGTTGTAGATGATAGTCACATACAGATAACCGCTAGCGACACTGTGGGATCAGAAATACAATTCGAAAATCAAGAATTCAGTTCCTTACAAAAACTTTTACAGTTTTCACAAGCACATACTTGAAGACATCACAAGCACATACTTGAAGTCTCCATCACGATACTTCCCAAAAGCCTGTAGGATGACTGTAATCATGGCCATCAGGGGTTTTACCACACAGAACTGTAAAGTGGCCTGTGAAAAGAATCAAACAAATTACTCAAAATACCTGGATAATTTATAAAAAGGTGCAAGGACTACAAAAGGCATTTAATAATCAGACCTGTTTGCAGAATCTAAGGAAGCCAATGGAGTAGGTCTTGCCCCAAAGACAACATGTTCCATATATACAGCTGGACCTGCAGCAAAACAAAGACAGGTTTCATTTAAGATGTGAAGCTATTACTTAACTTAAAGTTGCACAAATGCACCTACAGAGTCTCATCATACACCAGTAAGAGAATTGATCCTGAGGCATGCATTCCTAAAAACCATTTTCACATGAGAATAACTGGAATATGACACTCACTCAATGGGTTTTCCTCTGATCTCGGCCATTATAGCGCTCTCTCCTCCAAGGTATTCATAACAAAGGCTCAAGAAATTATAGATCACAAATGCTGCGAAAAAATTCAAAGATAGATTGAATTAGCATTGGAATACAATTGCAGTTGTATTTTCATTTCACAAAAACAGCAAACAAATTTGGTAGTTAGGAATGTTGTGGATTAAAATGATCAGAAGAACCTTTCTTGTGCAGTTTAATCTCATACTGCGGCACTGGCAGTCAAGCACAGCGGACCTTTCGGACTAAATCCCCTCATCAGAGTTTCACCAAACACCAACAAAAGGCTATGCCAAACAATGGCACAGTGGTGCACGGCGAAACATCCCTCGTGATGGTCTGGGCATGGCACGAAAAAATCTAAAAAGACTGTAAATACCAGCATCCTTCATCCCTTGAGTACACCATGTGCTTTTCTACACCAGATTATAGGACACCCACAGTTATATACATTTTTAGTAGTCTTGGTATTTTACCCATTAAATTTCTCCATAAGAGTTCTAAGGCACGGATCAAACCAACCAGATCAGAGATGAATCACACTATTACAAACTTTGATTTGAAGCCAAAATGTACACTACCGTTCATACGTTGGGGCTCTGTTTGATTTCTCTTATGCTCACCAAGCTTGCATTTCTTTGATCAAAAATACAGTAAAAACAATAATATTGTGAAATATTATTATTATTATTTTTTTACCATTTAGAATTTTTTCTGAAGCCATTGAAATTGCAGTGAATAGCGACCAAAAGAAAAAAGAAAAAAAAAGAAATTTGATCCAATGCAACACGTGTCATATATTCCAAGTGTTCTGGGGGTATACGATTATGGAGCTAATAATATGACAAAATGATTTGAATTTGAATTGTGTAAATTTGAATTATTTGCAAGTGTAATCTAACAAAACTGAATTTTAAATAGTTCTGAATTTGATTTTTTTTGGAACGAATATTGAACATCTGAAATGTAACAAACTGAAAGGTTTTTATGGCTGAATTTTATAGACATGTATTTTCAAACAGCTAGTTTTTGTGTTCTGAATTCAAATACTGCAAAATTTCAGTTTAAAAAAATACGGATTCAAGTTTTCAAGATGAAGAAATTCGGAACGTCAAATTCAGTTTTCTAAAATTCAATGTCAAAAATTCAATCTCAAAAATTCAGGTCTTACAGAAAGTAGGTCACAGGGAAGAGTAGATGATCTCGGAAAAGTCGAACAGAGCATTTTGGCCAATTAGGGACTGCAGAAGTTTTCCAGTGCGAACGTGGTGGTTCAAGAGGTTGCCGCTCTCTGACTCTGATCATGATCGCCCGGAGGTAAGTTAAACATGAATGATTTTGTGTTCGTGTCGTATTCACGATACAGCACCATAGCACACCCTCTCGACTCATGATCAGAGTCAGAGAGCGGCAACCTCTTGAACCACCACATTCGCACTGGAAAACTTCTGCAGTCCCTAATTGGCCAAAATGCTCTGTTCGACTTTTCCGAGATCATCTACTCTTCCCTGTGACCTACTTTCTGTAAGACCTGAATTTTTGACATTGAATTTTTGACATTGAATTTTAGAAAACTGAATTTGACGTTCCGAATTTCTTCATCTTGAAAACTTGAATCCGTATTTTTTTAAACTGAAATTTTGCAGTATTTGAATTCAGAACACAAAAACTAGCTGTTTGAAAATACATGTCTATAAAATTCAGCCATAAAAACCTTTCAGTTTGTTAAATTTCAGATGTTCAATATTCGTTCCAAAAAAAATCAAATTCAGAACTATTTAAAATTCAGTTTTGTTAGATTACACTTGCAAATAATTCAAATTTACACAATTCAAATTCAAATCATTTTGTCATATTATTAGCTCCATATACGATAGGGTTTGGTGAAAAACAAACCGAAATTTTATGTATTTTTCAACAAACATCCTGACCTTGGCCTTTGGTCTTCAGTGGACGGCTGCGCGTGTTTATTATATTTATTTCATATATACCCAGTAAATTTGGTTGTGAATGAAAGAAAGCGAAAACTAATCTATTTTAGTTTGCTAAATTGCTACAGGCCAAGCGTGCTATTGTTTTAAAATGGAAAGAGACCCAAAGACCCTTGCCTAGTCAATGGGTTAAAGAAAAGACCAGCAGTCTTGCCTCCGAAAAGCTGACATTGTAGTTAAAGGGAAACCTAAAGACTTGTATTGCCTTTTTACACTATTGCAATCAAGTGGATCAGATGGTTTGGGATGATTGAACTACCCACCTCTTATGTATTGAATATGTTAAATATATGTGTCCAGCAGAACAACTAATAACTTTGATAAAGTAGCAAAGGTAAAATTACATAGCGAAAATCAGTGAACTGTGATGAATGAAAATGAATATTTTATTTATGTTCTAGTTTTGTTCCAGAACTCTTAACATTTTTTTGCTTTAATGTTCAAACAAATGCCAATAAATATATTTTAAAAGCTTGATTTTGGTCACTATTCACTGCCATTATATATATATATATATATATATATATATATATATATATATATATATGCAAGCGCAGGGCTTTTTTTTCTCCTTTTGTGGTCTGAAAAAAAGTAAATAATGGTATTAATTTCTTTCCATTTGTATGTGTGTTTTTTTTAAACGTAAAAAATTTAAGTTGGAATCACAAAAGTCATATCATGAAACGTTTCTATAATGTTTCTAAAATGAATGGGATTTTTTATGTCCAGAACCTGTTGCACTCAATTAAATCAAGCAAAACGGTATGAAACGTGCATGTGCGACTCGAATAGATAAATTCAAGAACTGCGCTCCAGCTTATGAAGCGACTGAACTGTGCCAATATTCACAGCATCCCCAGAGGGTGTTAATTTGCCCTCTTCCCTTGCTCTGTGGGGCAGGGTATGTGTAAATCTCTGCATGTGACAGTGACAGTGGAGGTTGGATCTCAGCTCTATATATAGCACACGGACCCTGCAGCCACAGCTGCTCTTCAGTGTTTTGCTGCTGCGGAGTCGAGAAACCGACAGCGGTGCAGCTGAAGGTCTAGTTAGTGTGAACAAGAGCTCACTAATCTCTCCCTCCCACTTTAATTGCCCCACATAACATTTGGAACAGTCTCACACCCAATTAAGCCTATCCAAATATATATCTGTAAATCAAATTATACCACTTGCTATTTACAACCAAGCCAGAACCAAAATTAAGTATCACTTAAAAGCACAATGTGAATATTGCTATGGCACTTTACCAGTGTTATTTTAGTATCACTGAGATAGCATTATAGTTTTTGTTAATATTTTTAATTCAATTTTATTTTTATATGTGCTGTTTTTATTTTAATTTTAGTTAGTTTCAATAACTGTGCTGTGTTTCTGTCATTTTTTATTAGTTTTGGATTTTTTAAAACATGTCTATATAGTTGCTATTAAGTTTTAGTTTATTTAGTTTTAATTATTTTAGTATTTCAACTAAAATGAAAATGAGAAATGTTGCCATGGTATCTAACTGAACTAAGATAAGTTTATATATATATTTATAAAATGAAAATGTTTTTATATGGTTTTAGTTAACACTAATAACCCTGCACTGTATTGGTCTGGTGTCAAACGAACACCTGGTTTATTAGTTCATCCATGTGCATCCGCTCCACTGATGCGCGATAAACACGGTTTCTATGCAACAATCGCTTCTAGAAATCCCAGCTGACCTCAGATCCAGAGAGCTGCTCTAGCAGGAGTCGGCTATAAAATAGGCTGCAAAGGTGTCGTGTTTAAAGCTCCACATACAAAGACAGCTGAAAGAGGAAAAAAGCCTACCCTCATAGCAATCCCTGACAGTGTCGAAGTAAACATAGTACTGGTCGTTGGTAAAGAAGAGAAGGCTGAGCCAGGAGTCGAAGGCGTATATGGGTACGATGAAAAGGATGCGCACTATGTGCCTCTGCTCCTTGGGAGAGCTGTAGTATCGCAGATGCATGTAGATCTGTACAAAATGACAAACAAAAATGAAATGCACTGATTGAGTTTATATTCTCAAGCCTAGCTGGATGAGGGGATGTTTACCTGGTGGCAAGTGATAAGAAGTGCTGTCCACACAAAGAAGCCTGACACTGCCTGGGCCGTCGTGGTCATGAGGAATATGGGCTGCTCTGGAGTGAGCAGAGGAGCCTCTGGGAACCAGGAGATGTTGGGCCCAGCAGGGGCCATTGTGGCTAGCGAGCCTGGAGCCATCCTGTTAACTTCCTCCCCAAAGTGATCAGACAAGGGCACGTCACGTCTCAAAATCTGCGGCGTTAGAGAGATTAGGATGCTAATCAGTAATATGGCAACCTGGGGATCAAAGATGCTGAATGAGAGGGTCTAACGTAGAAATGTGATGTACAATTTTTGGTTGTTTTTAAAATGCCATGAAAGTTAATAAGAGGAAATGAAAAAGGAGTGTGAAACAGTATGATGTAATCATGAATCGTTTCTCTGTAATAATGTGGACAAGCAAAGAAATTAAACTAAAATCAGCCAGAGCTATAGCTATATGAAATGTGAGTAGAGACAGATATTTTCTTTCGTTTTGTGAAGTACATGCGAGTAAAACAGATTATCGAAAAAGAAAAAAATTGTAATGCAAGGATGTGGTCATAAATCAGTTATTGATTGGATGGAGGCAGATCTGAATGCGAGCTTGCAGTCAATTGTAAGAAAGGGCCGGGGTTTAAGTGGACGAAATGATTGGACAAGTCTGGCATATGTCACCAGAGAGAAGTCAGTCATTTCAATGGAAAATTGAGTTATGATTAGGGGTGTAACGATACCCTCATGTCACGATTCGATACATATCACAATACTGAACTCACGATACGATATTATTGCGATACTCCAAGACATAAGATAAAAGGTTAACAAAAAATGAACTGTTGATTAAAATGCTAAATTTGGTGTTACATTGTGGGTGTAAATGAATAGGCTTGGACTTGGTGCTGATAACCCAATGCACAGGGCAATAGTGACACTAGAATAAAAATATTCATGATTCTGAAGCTGAAAATACAGAATTATTTTAGACGAATATGCTTGCACTCTGTCACTGACTATATATTTAAAATAATGTATAGGCCACTTTTTACTGGTAACAAGACATTTGTCATTATCAGGAGCTACAAATATTCACCCATTGCATTATTATATATTATATTGAACATTATATAGCAGTTTAATGTAGTACTGAGTCTAAAACTCTGAAAACTTGACACACAGTCAAGTTTATTTTGTGTGAACTATACACAATAGATATTGTCACTATCCAGGATACATATTGTTGCATTTTTGTATTGCGATATTTTGTGACACAATATATAGTTACACCCCTGGTTATGATACTTTGATTCAAAATTACAAGGTCTTATTTTATTTTTTTAATGAAACATGCATGGAATTCAGGGTAAATTTCATGCCGACTTTATTGAAAAAGGTCATGAAATGATCTAGGAAATTGGAGAACAAAAAAGTTTACATTGATTACCACTGTATAAAGATCAGTTGCACATGTGTTATCCTTCATTTCTGGACCTTAACTTATAAAATACTTGATGAAACAAAAATTAAGAAGCGTGTCTGTGTTCAGACATGGATGATAGTCACACCACTGACAATTTACATGACAACTAACAAAAAATTAAAATAAATGGAGGATTCAATGGTTATATTTAGAGAGCATGAAGAATGAGAAATTATTAAACAATGTTCATTTGTCTACAACTTAATGTATTTCTCACATAGTAAAATTTGGCCACCTTCATCGTTTACGCTAGGAGACTTTTTTTATCAGATACTTAGTTTTTGTCATAAGTACCTTTATAACGTTCTTTCTTCAGCAGAACACAAAATATGTTCTGACACTCTGAGTCATGTACATTGAATAGGAAAAATGATACAATGACCGTCAACAGTGACTGGTGAGAAAGAAAGAAAGTCATACGGGTTTGAAATTAACTTGACGATAACTAAATGACAGATATGTTATTTGTTTTTGGGTGGACTTTAAATCATATGTTTAATGCTTTCACCATTCACTTTTCGTGTTACACATTGACCTTATTTGGAAGAGCAGCATCAATTTAGTTTATTAGTTGGAAGTTCGTCCGAAAAAATATAGTATGAAAAAACAACAAAGTAGGCTATCTACATACTAGAGAAACAAGAGCAACTTACCAATAACATAAACTCAGATTTAAAAGCATTCGGCGTGCACAAAGGAAAGAGAACGAGAAGCGATTCGGCCTTAATTCCTCAAAGCCATCGTTGCTGCCCGTCATCCATGTTTATATTCCAGCGCCGTTTATCTCAGCTGGGAAATCTGCGCTCCGCTCTTTTATATTTGTTCCCATGTAGTACTTCGCCGCGTCTTTGAGCCGTTTACTGTGTATTTCACGACTATTCTAAAGGATTTTATACACAATCCTAGTTGAACTGCGTTGAAAGGTAATTCCTCCTTTTCGAGCTCCCCTTGCCGTTGAATAAAATCTCTTGCGGATTAGTTTAACGGGGATAAAAGTGGAAAGCGTCTGTGAAGTCTGCTACAATAGGCAGCTTTTTTTCTTTTCTTTTTTTTTTTTTGTAATTGGATATAGCTTCAAAACTTCAAAATAAAAGTCACGTGTAAGACTAACCCAATTTACAAGAAATAATGCATTTTAAAGAATTGTGTAATACTGAACACCTTCTTCAACCGTTTGCTAGAATTATACAGATAAATCCTTAAAAACAAAAAAACGTCAATTAAAACTCAATTAATCCTAATTTACTTTACAGTTAACTGAGCTCATGCTATTCCTTGGATAACACAATAAAATAAACTGCATGTCCTTTATTAAATTGTATTTATGTCATAAAAATGGTCAAAAAGTGATAATTTTCTTAATAAGACCCAATCGAAAGTTGCAGGCCATAAAGTAACTAATTGTGTGTAGTGTGTGTGTGTGTGTTTGTTTGTTTTCATTTACATTTACTATCATGCAATTGTGGGGAAAGGGGAATGATAATCCAAAAATAAATGCATGTGTATTTTTTCTTTTGTTTCATTTAATGCAATAAATGATACTTTGAAATTCACAATTTTGTCATTTGAATCAATCCAGTTACTTATTGTCTCTGTGTTTGCCTACTGTTTACATGTATCGTGATCTTCTTTAAGTACATCTTTATAAGTACAATCTTAATAATCCATTAATAACCTTTCAAAAGGGTAAACTGGAATTAAACAGCCCAGGTCATGTTACTTTTTACACCAGCCATGCAAAAATGTTCAGTAAGTTCACTATATAAGTTCCACAATGTTAAACAAGCTGAAACACTCGTACTTTTATATGTGTGTTTATTTATAAATGAGGTTGTCATAATGTCAATGCAGGAGTCTTCATTTCAAATTTTCAGTACACCATATAGTTCAGCTCTGTAATTTTAAGAGAGGAGTTCAGGCCTTTATTAATGCTCAAATTGATCTTAAGGTTAGTTCACTGCAGCAGATATTGAAATCAATACCTCCAATAATTTACATGTTCAATGCACAATCATGACATATCCATTCAGTGACGTCTACAGACCAAACAGCAGTTTGACTGGAAACAACATTCTTGGAAATTCTTAACTTTTGCATATTTAAAATTTAACATGGAAAAGATGGTTCCACAAAACCTCATACGTCAGTAAGGTGTCAACATACATCACTTTTTGTGTGTTAAAGTAACAGTGCGAGGGATACATTTGTTACACTCTATCAATATTCAATTTTAACTTTACAGTCCAACAGGCAAGTCCTTCTTTTTCCCGGCATTTCAGACAAAACAGAGAACAACCAGAATAACCTTCATTAGGTCGCAGGTAAAGATTCTCTTTTCCACTTCCACCGTTTGAGACTTGTGATCCTCGATAAACCTGCCAGTCCACTGTCAACATGCGTCTATATCTTCGATGTCTCATCCCAACAGCAACAACCAGCAGTGCGTGAGGACGGGGGAGCACTTTGTCCCTTACAAAAATGTGGTTCCTTTCTTTCAGCTTCTTGCTTCTGTTTCGCACTCCCGTTTTACATAGAAAGATGAATATAAATGCTTTAGGGGAGTTTTCTGTTGTAATCCTGCAAAATAAAGTAAATGATAACACACTTTAGCAAAATAAGTTAATTAGAATGAGGTAAAATGAATGTGAGTAAATAAATGTATTTAATTATTTATTTATTGAAATAAACATTTATTTAATCTTAAAAACAGTAATATTGTGAAATATCACAATTTAAAATAATTGTTTTCTCTTTTAAGATATTTTAAATTCATTCATTACTTTAGTAAATTCATTACTCCAATCTTCAGTCACATGATCTTTCACAAATCCTTGTAATATGCTGATTTGTTCCTCAAGAAACATTTCTTATTATTATCAATGTTGAAAACAGTTGTGCTGCTAAATATTTTTGTAGAAATCATGATACATTATTCTTAAGTTCAAAAAAGTAAAAAAGAACAGCATTTATTTGAAATAGAAATCTTTTGTAACATTATAAATGTCTTTACTGTCACTTAATGCATCCTTGCTGAATTTTTAATAATAAATTATTAATTCATAAATACCATTACGCGTTATACCATATCACATTATACAACCTGAACTAACCGTGGCTTGTCATAAAATGTCACACTGATATTAGACTTATTGGCATTTTTTACAATGACGATTCCCAGTTCGTCTACTTTTACTTTGGCCTAAAATGCTTATAATCTGCCTTTTTTAGTGTGTCAGAAGAGTAAGCAAGCTTTGGGACATACTACATCATCATAATTGTGTCTTCAACGGGCCGCTCTGCTGTCATCATCTAAACTAGTGATGCACCGATATGAATATTTTATAATATTTTGATATCGATAACCGATAATTCCTTATATTTGATAAATCTAAATCCAAGTTTTTATATAATTTTTGGGAGCCTGATTACAAAAAAAAGTCTCACCATTAAAAGACATGTCCCAACCAAACAAACAAAAGCCAACAAAAAAAGTACAGTAGCCTAGTTTAAACCAGTGCAAGTTTTAGGCCAACTTTAATAAAAAAGAAATTAATTCTAATCATATTTCAAACAATTCAAAACCATCATGGCGAACAGTGCGCATCTGAAGTGTCTCAGCTGAAGGAAAGAATTCATTATTTATTGCCTTTAAAATATTGGCCAAATATTCTTATTGGACAGATGACAATAATATTAAAAATGAACGTATATCGGCCGGTACCGATATGGTGGCCGATATATCGTGTATCCCTAATTTAAACTGTCCTTGTCAATCATTTTGTCACAATTAAAATCCTCCACGTTCAATTTAATTTAGTTCCCTACTGTATCGGAGAGAAATGTAGAAACACATTGATCTGCCAGTCGTGGTTCTTTCATGCAGAGACTCTCCTCAAGTGTTTGCATGATGATGCATTTAAAAGTCAATGACCACACGTATCTTTATAAAAGTTCACAATGCTGTTGCAGATGAAATATAATGTTGATAACATTGAATAAATATCTTTTTATCAGGTGAAATACTGATTATTAATCACTCAAACCCAATCGTCGGTCTTGCACATCCGCCATATTTGTGTGTTTGTAGTTGTAATCGAATCCTCATTCAACGTGCAATGGGTTGTGGGCAATATTAGCCATTATGCAGTGTGCATAGTATAGTATCTTCGGAATACTCATTTCAACATATTATGATTTGGAACACACTAATGCTAATTTCAAATAATATTTAGGACGGATAGTATGCGAATTGGGCACAGCAATTGACAGTTATGTCAGCAGGGGTCCTCTCTATGATATCATTTCCTGTTTTTTCTTTCCACATCACTTTGACCTGGTGGACAAACATATTTATAATATATATATATATATATATATATATATATATATATATATATATATATATATATTAGAAATGCTTCATTGCTAATTTTATGCCAAAAACGTTTTTATTAAGACTTTCATGCTTTTAATGATGCCTTATTTTTTTTTACATATAACTATGTATTCCCCTGACATTTCTGGCTTTTTCATTTTCATTCAGAAACTAAAAACATGCTTATCATAAAAGAGGACATCAAGTCATTGGGCTTCATTCATGAAACTTTCATAAATATACAAGCAAATTCAGAGTAATTTGTGCGTAAAATGGACCTTTATGAAAACTCTCCTCCGGATTCACAACTTCGGTAGATAAACATGTGTGCATTACTGAATTCCAAACATTCGTAAATAGGGCGCGCGTGCACGCTCATTCATAATTAGCATAATTCCTGCCCAACTTGAGTTACAACTACACACATTACGTGTCCAGGAATGCTGTGGAATCTTCTGGACTTCCTTCTCAGGTTTGGCTCCAGTATATTGCATAACTGCTAAAGAGACTAATTGGCCATATGCCTAGCAATATATATTCAAATATCGTGTGTCCACCAAAGCATTTTAGCCAACTAAAAATGCCTGATGCTCTTCTGAAAACGGCCAGCTGAGATGCTTTGGTTGCTATGATACGGAATATCCATGGCAGTAATGTATTACTAGTATCTCATTTCTCCATTGTTGTTCAGTCGTTGCACAAGTAGGATGATTGGTCGATGTAGTATTTGTCCCGCCCCTCCTCCACTGTGATTGGACGGCTGGGTAAAAAGTGACAGTGACGAGTGCTGCCTTAAATACCCAAATTTGAACAGTTAAAAAAACAAAAAACGGGGCAAATCAACTCGTGAAATATTATTATGGTGTATAGTGCATCAAAATGCAATGTCATCGGTTTGCCTAAATTAGAAAACATAACGTTCAAATGTTTTACGCACCATTTACACATGGTATAGCAGGTGTGTATCCGAGGGGTGTATAGCAGGGAGCAGGTGTACATTTCTGTCGTACCAACTAACATTTTGAAAATACAAAACATTTTGTGAGTCACTGAAAATTTACATCAGAACCGCTTTTACGAACGATTTACACAAAAATGTGTTCTGCTCGTGTTTCATGAATGAGGCCCAATGTGTGTATGTATGAACTGCAGGATCCAGACAAAAAACCCACTAACCTCCTAAAAACAGTAAATGAGACTGAACTTGCAGAGCTCATTTCCCCATGTGTTCGAATGGAACGCTGACCTGTGCGAGAGAGACAGAGAGGTCAGAGCAAAAATAAATATGAGGGAATTAAGCGAAGAACTAGTACGTGAACGGAAACCTGTGGGGGAGTGATGCGGATCTGATCGTGACGGAGAGGGAGGTCAGGGGAGGCATTGGCAGGAGCACCGCGGTGCAGCCGTAAACACACTCTCCTTTCCCGCTCAGCTCCTCGGCCTGCTCTTGGAGATGCATTCCCTGAGAGACAAAACAACAGGTAAGAAGAGTTTTAAGTGCTGATATCGAATACCAACAACACAGAAGGTCATAAGAATACAGTTTCATAAGGAAGAGAAACCATATCCTTCGAAAATAACCTGCTCATAAATAGAACAGACATCAATAACACCTCCGCTCGTTCTCAGACTCACCAGACTGTGGCACACG